TCAACATCTGGAGGGAGTGACAAGCAAAGTCACATCAACATCTGGAGGGAGTGACGGCAAAGAAACGTCAACATCTGGAGGGAGTGACAAGCAAAGTCACGTCAACATCTGGAGGGAGTAACAAGCAAAGACACGTCAACATCTGGAGGGAGTGACGGCAAAGACACGTCAACATCTGGAGGGAGTGACAAGCAAAGTCACATCAACATCTGGAGGGAGTGACGGCAAAGAAACGTCAACATCTGGAGGGAGTGACGGCAAAGAAACGTCAACATCTGGAGGGAGTGACGGTCGTATTTCCTGGACCACGTTCGGATCAGAACCTCTGAGGACGTAAAATCAGAGTCGGACCTTCCTGGGCTCGGAGCAGTAACTCATCTGGATCCTGCAGTGATTTCAAACGTGGACTAAAGTCTCGGCGTCGGTCAGAACCAGCTGCTGGAGTTTTTACATCAGGAGCATCTTTGTGACGTTTTAAATGTTTTATCTGGAAGAATAAAAACACCTTCGGTGTTTCGAACTGGACCTGGACCATCGTTGTTTTTCTCACCGAGGATCAGAACCGAGCGAGCTAAAGACGAGCCAACAGCTAAAATAATGTTGGGATCAGAACCAGCCATATACAGCTGAGTGTCCTGACCCGGGTCAGCACTCACCCTTTCTCCAGTGAGTCCAGGTCCCACTTCATGTGAGCAGCTACTTTCAGCGCCAGCAGCTTCAGGGTCCGGTTCCTGTGGTTGTCGATGGGCGGCTGGACCAGGTTCTGCTCGTTCACAGATGGTTTGGAGGCCTGCTCCAAAAACTGGATGATCAGCTGGACTGGAGTCGGGTCTGTGGGAGGACATGTGCTGTCACGGCACCAAGACCCAAACAGATGTTTCTATTCCTGAGGAGTACTGACCGGGCCCGAGGTTCTGCAGGTGTTTCTCCAACAGGCTGCTGTCCAGGAGGAACTCGAACCAGGAGATCTGAGGAGGCGTGCCGGGCCGGCCGCTGCTCGCAGAGGCCACCCGGTCCGCGGCTTCAGCACTCATCCTCTGGAGAGGAGGGACAGGAGTCATGACAGAACCTCACTGCAGAACCGGGTCTCGGGTTATAAACAGTGTAATTTATGTCCCGTGTTGTGAGGACGACTCCACGGATGAACAATGAAGAAATATCTGAGTCTTTCTGCTCCCTGAAAGGAACTTGTCCAGATGATTTCACCTCGTTGTTTTCTGCTGTGAAGTTCAGAACGTCGTCAACATTTTCCACTTAATGTGTTGACCCACATGACCTTTGACCTTTCTCAGGTTGATGGGCAGCTACAGATGCTTCATATTTTCTGTTAACTGATAATTAATGTCGTTTTATGGATCAGATTTTTACACCTGAAAGTTAAGAGGCAGTTTAACTTTAATGAACGAACACGATCGTGATTTTTAGCTTTTACAGCCAGTTTGAACACAAACGGCTGAAAAATATCTCATCGTGTTTTTACTCAGGAAGCACCTTGGATTAGGAGCTTAATAATTCACCAGGTTAGACGTATTTAAGGAGATTAATGAAATGTTTATTTCTTATTTAAATTAAAATATACTTTATAAATCCACAAAGTGAAATTCTTATTAGTCCCTTTATTTCTGTAGCTCCAATAGTTGTCTCAAGGAACTGATCAAAACATTCCCAGACTTTATAAAAGACAATTCAAAGTTAAAGAAGCAGCAGATCGTGCTCAGTCTTCACTCTGTCAGTCTCCCATGATAAAGTGTCACATTTTTATAAAACCTTATTCTTTGCTGTTTAACTTTTCCTCATCAAACCTGTAACTAAAGCCGAAATCACATCGAGTGAGAAGTTGGTACAAACAAATCTAACATGTAATTTGGTGTTTCCGGACTTTGATCAGTTGTAACCCTGGACTCGTTTTGACAGAAGACAGAGATTTCCTGATGCATGCTCAATAATGCTCAATGGACAGAGCTCTTTCTCCAAACACTCGGCTGACAACAAGCTAGCGGTGCTAACAGCAGCAGCACTCGTGCTAAGCTAGCTGTG